CCATCATCATCCCGCTCCTCCTCATCACCATCCTCAACATCATCCCACCTCTCGCCCGTGTGTTTCATTTCCCGTGCAGAGACCACACACTTAGCTTGCCAAGCATTACACGCCGCCTGGCTATCTGTCCATCTATCTGCCTTCCTGGCTCTCCTGGCCGCGGCGCTTAGAACTTCTTAAGGTCTGGGTCGCATCGGATACCGCCGCCCTCTCCTATGTCGGTGGCCCTGGCAAAGCATGCAAACATGAAGGTGCAAACACAAGAGGCCCGTGTCCCAGGGGAGGTCGCAACACCGCACAACGATGTGCCGCGTACGAGGCCTCGCAGGGTGAGCCGTTTGCCAAGTCCGTGCTTCGGTGCGGATCGTAAGCGTGCCTCTCCGTCGGCGTCGTCGTCGTCGTCGACTGCGTCGTGGCGCGTTTTGCTCTGCTCGGAACGTGTTTCCCTTGTGCAGCGACCCTCCTCCTCCTCCTCCTCCTCCTCCTCATGCTCCTCCTCATCATATCAGCAACACCATCAACATCACCATCACCATCACCACCACCATAGCCATCATCCTGCCCATCATCCTCGTCATGCTATTCATCATCACTCTTATCCTCCTCGCCATCATCATCATTATCATCATCATCCTCATCATCATCATCATCATCATCGACATCGTCATCGTCATCGTCATCATCATCACCACTATCATCATCACCATCAGCATCACCATCACCAACACCACCATCAGCATCATCAGCATCATCACTACCAACAGCATCATGACCACCACCACCACCATCATCATCGTTATCATCATCAGCAGCATCATCACCAAAACCACCACCATCATCATCATCAGCATCATCAGCACCATCATCATGATCACAACCACCACCATCATCATCAGCATCATCAGCATCATCGCCATCGCCATCAGCATCAGCATCATCACCACCACCACCATCATCATCATCGCCATCATCAGTATCATCATCAGGATCATCATCATCAGCAGCAGCAGCATCATCATCATCATCAGCATCATCATCATCATCATCATCATCATCATCATCATCATCATCATCATCAGCATCGTCATAATCAGCATCAGCATCAGAACCAGCATCAGCATCATCATCATCAGTATCCTCATCCTCTTCCTCCTCCTCCTCCTCATCCTCCTCTCCTCCTCGTCCTACTCCTCCTCATCCTCTCCCTGTCTCCTCCTCCTCCTCATCCTCTTACTCATCCTCCTCCTCCTCCTTCTCCCGCTGCCTGGCTCCCTCCCTCCCTCCCGCCCGCCCGCCCGCTCTCCCTCCATCTTTCAACTTCCTCATATATCTCAGTCCTCATCCTTATCATCCCCCCCCTCAGATCCATGCCTCCTCCTTGTTCTCCTCCTCCTCCTCTTCGTCTTGTGTTTATTATTATTCTTAGTACTAGCATTCGTCTTCTTAGTATTAGTATTGTTCGTCTTAGTATTCTTAGTCTTATTATTATGTTTACTGTTATCATCCGTATTATTAATATTACCGTTGTCCTTATTATCCTCATCAGAAGTAAGTTTCATTGATTATAACAAGTAGTATGCATTGTCTGTTTATTTTCCTTCCTGCATTCGCATACCATCATCAGCATCTTCCGCATCATCAGCATCATCAGCATCAGCATCCTCATCGACGTCAGCAGCAGCTTCATCACCATCAGCATCAGAATCATCATGATCAGCAGCATCATCAGCATCAGCATCATCATCAGAATCAGCATCAGCATCATCCGCACCATCATCATCAGCATCATCATCATCCTCATCATCATCATCATCATCACCATCATCATCATCATCATCATCATCATCATCATCATCATCATCATCATCATCATCATCATCATCATCATCATCATCATCTGTATCATCATCACCGTCGACATTACCACCACCATCACCATCACCATCACAATCACCATCGTCAGCATCGTGATCAGCATCATCATTGTCGTCATCATCAGCATCACCATCAGCATCATCATTATCATCATCAGCACCCACCATCATCAGCACCCACCATGATGATGGTGACCATCATCATCATCACCCATCATCATCAGCAGCATAATCATTATCGTCATCAGCATCATCATAAGCATTATCATCATCCGCAGCATCCTCATCCTCATGCTCATCCTCATCCTCGTCATCATCATCAGCAGCAGCATAAACATCGTCATCGTCATCGTCAATCACCATCATCATGATCATCATCAGCAGCATCGTCATCATCATCGTAGTCATCGTCATCATCATCATTATTATCAGTACCATCATCACCATAATCATCAGCATCCACCATCATCTTAATCAGCAGCACCATCGTCATCATTAGCAGCATCAGAATACTCATCATCATCACCATAATCAGCATCATCATCATCATGATCATCATCATCATCATGATCGTCACCATCATCATCGTAAGCATCATCAGCAGCATAATGATCATCGTAAGCATCATCATCACCACTATCACAACCACCATCATCATCGTCATCATCATCCTCAGCAGCATCCTTATCATCATTATCATCCTCATCATCACCATCATGATCAGAATCACCATCATCACCATCTTCATCATCAACATCATCATCATAATCCATCATCTCTTTCCCTCATCCGCTTTGCCTCATCCAAGCGCGCGGGGACGAGGGGGAGGCGGAGGAAGAAGGAAGGGAAGGAGGGAGCTGGGGGAGAAAGTGCGGGAAGAAAATGGAAAAAGAGAGACGAGACAGAAGGATGAGCAGACGGTGTAAGAGAAGGAAGGAGAGAGGGAGAGTAGCAACGGAAGGAAGACAAGGAACGGCCAGAGTGGACGGTCAGAGTGGAAGCCCCGTCGGATGCAGCACGCCGCTGGACTGTCGCGCTGAAAGCAAGTTCGGCCAGGCCCCTGGCTCGGCGAGGGCCCAGACCGACCGGCCCCCTGCGTGCCGCCCCTGCTGGTCCGTCATCAGGCCGGCAAGGGCGCACAGCTCCGGCCAGCTGCGGGGGAACCGGTCCCACGGCAGCGGCTGATGCCTCGGAGCGGCCAGCCCCAGGAGGGCGGAGGTGGACGACACGACGGACGGCCGGTGCCCCGGGACGGGCGACCAGCGTCACCAGCGTCACGGGGGCGGTCGGCCCAGGAGGGCGGCCAGGCGGTGGACGACGGGGGACGGGGAGACGGGCGCGAGAACGACCGGGGGCGGGGAGGAGGAGGAGGAGGAGGAGGAGGAGGAGGAGGAGGAGGAGGAGGAGGAGGAGGAGGAGGAGGAGGGTGCAAGGGTGCAAGGACACAGGCGGAAAGAGTCCGCCTCGCTACCACGTGACAGGAGAAAGGCTAGGCGCCTGCTGACCCTGACAGGGGCCAAAACTCGTCGCCATCCCTGCCGGCTTCGACGGAGCCCGAGCGCCTATTCGACCGCCGAATCAGGCGTGGAGAAGCCGTGCAGGGAAGCCACCTTATAGTGGTCGAGCACGGGGACCACAGTCCCGGAGAGGAGGAGGAGGAGGAGGAGGAGGAGGAGGAGGAGAAGCGGGGCGACGGGGGAGAGGGATAAGTGATTGGCAAGAAAGACGAGGGGGAGGAGCGCAGAGTAAAGGTACAAAGAGGGGGCAGAGCAGGGGAGGAAAGGGGAGGGTGCAGGGGAAAGGGGAAGACGACGGCGGCGACGGCGACGGCGACGACGGCGACGACGACGACCCCGATGACGATGATGACAACGACGACGACGATGACAACGACGACGACGACGACGACGATGACAACAACGACGACGACGACGACGACCAAGACGACCAAGACGACGGCGACGACGAAGACGACCAAGACGACGACGACGACGACGACAACGACGACTACAAAGACGAAGACGAACACAAAGGCGAAGACAACGACGATGACGACGACGAAAAGGACGACGACGACGATGACGACGACGAGGGTCGAAGGAAGACGAGGAGTAGCAGGAGGTGGAGTACGCAATTGGACGAATAAGAAGGGCGGAGGGAGGAATAGGTAAACCCAGAGGTGACACCTGTCAAGCGTGGTGAGATCGAGAAAGCAGGACGTTCTTCCCCCCCACTCCTTTTTCCCGGCGGAGCCAGGTGGAATTCCGTGCCCTCCGCTGACTGACCGACTGAAATGAGCTGGAGGGGCATTTCTGACAACACATTTCAAACCCGCCCGCGGGCGCAACCACAACCGCAACCAGGCGACACATTTCAACCTGCCCGCGGGCGCAACCGCGACCGAAACCAAACGACACATTTTAACCCGCCCGCGGGCGCAACCGCAACCGCAACCAGGCGACATATTTCAACCCGCCAGCGGGCGCAACCGCAACCGCAACCGTAACCAGGCGACACATCCCAACCCGCCCGCGGGCGCAACCGCAATCGAAACCAGCGACACATTTCAACCCGCCCGCGGGCGCAACCGCAACCTGGCGACACATTCCAACCCGCCCGCGGGCGCAACCGCAACCGGAAGCGCAACCAAGCGACACATTTCAACCCGACCGCGAACGCAACCGCGACCGCAACCAGGCGACACATTTCAACCCGCTCGCGGGCGCAACCGCCACCGCAACCGCAACCAGGCGACACACTCCAACCCGCCCGCGGGCGCAACCGCTACCGCAACCAGGCGACACATTTCAACCCGCCCGCGGGCGCAACCGCAACCACAACCGCAGCCGGGCGACACATTTCAACATGCCCGCGGGCGCAACCGCAACCATAACCAGGCGACACATTCCAACATGCCCACGGGCGCAACAGCAACCGCATCCAAGCGACACATTTCAACCCGCCTGCGGGCGCAACCGCAACAACAAGCTGGCGACACAATCCGCCCGCAGGCGCAACCGCAACCGCAACCAAACGACCCGCCCGCGGGCGCAACCGGAAACAAGCGACACATTTCAACCCGCCCGCGGGCGCAACCGCAACCGCAACCAAACGACATATGTCAACCCGCCCGCGGGCGCAAGCGCAACCGCAACCGCAACCAAGCGACAAATCCCACCAGCCCTCTGGGCGTAGGTGGTCTAGAGCAGATCCTCTTCCACCCCTCCCTCTTCCCCCTTGGGGAGGGGTTTACCCCTCCCCCTACCCCCTCCCCTGGACCTGGACGGGGGGGGCCGCGGGTAGTTAGAGCGTCCAAGATGGCCCAAGACGGCTCCAAGAGCGCCTCAGAGAACCCAAGATGAGCTCCAAGATGGCTCAAGATAGCGCAAGATCGCTCACGATGGCTCCTAAGATGGTTCCAAGAAGCCCAAAGACGGCCCCAAGATAACTCCAAGTGGCCAAACAGCTCCCCAAGGAGGCCCCGAAGAGGCCAAAATCGTCCCAAAACCTAAGGAAAATCAATGATTTTTGCTTTCTCGCCTTTTCGCTTCCGATGGCTATCCGAGGCCTGGAGATGGCTCCAAGATGGCCCAAGAGGGCCCCAAGAGAGCCCCAAAAGAGCCCCAAGACGGCCCCAAGAGCGCCCAAGAGCACTCCAAGAGCGTTCCAAGAGGGGTCCAAGAGGCGATTTTAGGGGCTTCCGAGGGGGGGCGCTAATTAAACCCCCCCTCTTGTTTGATCGACTCCCTCCAAGATGGCCCCAAAAGCGCCCCGAAGGCTCCCCAGAGCGCCTCAAGAGGGTCCCAAGAGGCGCCCAAGATGCCCCAAGGCGCCCAAAAAGCCCTCCAAGAGGCCCTCAAAAGACCCCCAAGAAGCTCCTTCCCCTCCTCCTCCTCCTCCTCCGATTCTTCCTCCTTCTCCGTCCTCCTCCTCCTCCTCCTCCTCCTCCTCTTCCCCCTCCTCCTCCTCCTCCTCCTCCTCCGACGACGACGACGACGACGACGACTCCTCTTCCATCCTCCCCCTCTCGGGGTCTGTGACAGCTTCCCCCGCCCTTTGTTATTCTGCATGCTCCCCGACTTCCCTGATCACCTCAACTCCCCTGAGCATCGTTTCTGGATGGGCTGGTGGGGATACGCGAAGCGTCAACAATTTCAACCCGCCAGCGGGCGCAACCGCAACCGCAACCGCAACCAAACGACACATTTCGACCCGCCCACGGGCGCAACCGCAACCGCAACCCAGCGACACAGTTCAACACGCCCGCGGGCGCCGCGAGGGTCCAAGAAGGAAGGTGCCGCCCGGTCCACCAAAGCCGAAGTACGCAACGCAATCTGTCATATCGACACAGAGATATCGCAACATGATTACCCCTGTGGCCCCAAGATGGCCCCCCTGCGAAGCAATGGCCCCGATACAATATGACCTCAGAACGACCCCAGTGCGACCCTGCTGCCTCAAGAGAGCACCGAGATGAACCAATGGCCTTTCGACTGAACTAAGGCTACCGCGTGACCACGATTTGACGCTGAGCTGGCCCAGAGATGAGCCCATGACACAAGAGAAGACCTCGAGTTTGCCTCAAGATGACCCCGTGAACCTTGTTTGACCCCAAGATTGCCCCAATGTGGCTCCAATGTGACTCCGATACGCTTTCCCCTTCTGTACTTGGTCCAGGCCTGGGCCGACAGGACGGATGGTGGTGCTGCTCCTCCGCCCCCGTCCCCCTCGTCCCCCTCCTCGTCCTCCTCCTCCTGTCGCCCTTGCCCTCGTCGTCAGCCCCCACGGTGGGGGCCCCACCCCTGGCCCCATAAATCGCAGGAAAACCGAATCCCCGACACAAACCGAATCCAGCGTTTCTCTGATTAAGAGGGCGAGGTGAAGCTTCTGGAGCATGGAATCAGACGCTGTGGTCAAATGGCAGTACGCGGAGAAAGATGCTCGAAGGCAGGCGTTGCTACACACATTCAGAGTGACTTCAGGGAGAGAAAGGAGGAGGGAGGGACATGGGGGGCGGCAGGGGAGAAGGGGGAGGGAGGGAGAGAAGGACAGAGGGAAGGAGGGAGGGAGGCAGCAAAGCGAGGCTCGACGGGTCACTGAAGTCTCCAGCGGCCCTCCGGGACGATCCGGACACCCTCGGGACGTTCTCGGCAAGGCGCAGCCGCTGGAGAGCACCCCCCGGCCGGAAGACCGCCGGAGACCGACGAAGACGCTGGAGAAGGAGACAGGGATGGAGGAGGCCGCAGAGGGACGAGCCGGCGAGCGGGCGGGGGGGCGGCGCAGGCGGGGAGCGGGGCGGGGCGGGCCAGCGGGGCGCACGCGGCGGGCCGCCGCACAGGCCGCGAGGGGTGCGCCCCCGCCCCAGCGGGCTCCGAGGCCCGCGCGCGGCAGCCCACGCGCCGGGGCGCAGCTCGCCTGCCCCTCGCCCTGCCCCTCGCCCCATGGCTCACGGGCTCGACCCATGGGCCCCCGTGTTGCCCCATCGCTCCTGGGCCGTCTTCGGGCGACTTCCGGGCGACTTTCGGGCGGTCTCCTGACGGTCTTCGGCGGTTCCCGGCGGTCTTTGGCGGTTTCCAGCGGTCTTCGGCGCGAAAGCGGGACGTTTGCGTTCACCAAGGGGCCCATGATCGAACCCCTAACCTGGCCCTTTGCCTCTAAGGAGGGTCAGGGAGAGAGGTGAAGGGGAGGAGACAAGGCCAGACAAGACGAGACGAGGCAGTGCACACCAAGGCGCGGCCCTGTTGAGAGCGCAGCGGGGGGGCCGTGGCCCCTCAGATGTCGATAGGGCGATCGGGGCGAGACTCGAACTCTCGGAACTTCCAAGATCGTGACGGCAGGGGGGAGAAGAGAAGGCAGAGGAGGAGTGTGAAAGAGGGAGTGGGAGAAGCAGGTAGGACGCAGGAAGAAGAAGCCCCTGCCGCTCTCCCCGCAGATCCCCCCTCCGCAGCGACCCAGCGGACATCCAGTAGTCCCGTACAGCACGCCCGGCACCTTTCGCGTGGCGTCTGGGACCTGCCCGATCGCCTGCGCGAGCAAGCAGCCAAACCAGAGAGCGCCCCGGCCCTCCTCATCATAATGCCATCAGGAGATCATCATCATCATCATCATCATCATCATCAGCATCATCACCATCACCATCACCATCACCATCACCATCACCATCACCATCATCGTCATCATCATCATCATCATCATCATCATCATCATCATCATCATCATCATCATCATCATCATCATCATCATCATCGTTATCATCATCATCAGCAGCATCATCATCAGCAGCAGAATCAGCTACAACATCAGGAGCAGCATCACAATCATCATCATCACCATCATCACCATTATCATCAGCATCATCATCGTCGTCATCATCAGCAGCAGCATGGTCATCATCATCATCACAAACAGCAGCAACATCATAAATACCATCATCATTAGCATCAGCATCAGCCTCATCATCATCATCCTCGCCATCAATGTCATCGTCGTCATCATATTCATCAGCATCAGCATCAGCATCAGCATCATCATAGTCATACTTATAACCCTCATAATGTTCCAATTCCAAATCCACATGCTCATCCTCATCCTTATCCTCCACAACACCATCATCATCATCATCATCATCATCATCATCATCAGCATCAGCAGCATCATCATCATCATCCTCATCATCGTCATCATCATCAGCATCATCGTCATCGTCTTCATCATAGTCACCAGCATCATCATTAACATCATCACAATCATCGTCATCATCATCATATCCGTCGTCGTCACCACCACCACCACCGCAACCATCATCATGATGATCATCAACATCATGATCATTATCGCCGCCATCAACATCATCATCATCAACATCATCATCATCAATATTATTGGCATCGTAACCGTCATCGTCAACGCCATCGTTATCATCAACAATCACCACCACCACGACCATTATCATCAATACCACCGTCACGTCCGTCACAATCATCCTCATCACCAACGCCACCACCACCACCATCATCATCAGCAGCATCATCAGCATCAGCAGCATCATCATCATCATCAACATCGGCATCGCCATCGTACCCATGATCAGAATCGTTGTCCTCATCGTCGTCGTCGACAGCAGCATCATCATCAGCATCATCAGAATATAAATTTTCTTGAGCAGCATCATCATTCCAATCATGTTCATCAGCATCATCATCAGCAGCAGCATCATCAGCATCGTCATCATCATCGTCATCATCATCATGGCAAACATCAGCAGTCGTCGTCATCGCCATCAGCATCATCATCATCACCATAATCATCATCATCACCACCACCGTCATCATCGTCATCATCATCCTCAGCCCTATCATCACCATCATCATCATCATCATCATCATCATCATCATCATCATCTTCATCATCATCATCATCATCATCATCATCATCATCATCATCATCCTCCTCAGCATCAGCATCGGCATTGCCATCGTCATCGTAAACATGATCGTCATCCTCGGCATCATCGTCGTCAGCACGTTAAGCATCAGCAGCATCAGCATCAGCAGCAGCATCATCAGCAGCATCATCTTGAATCATCATCGCATCAGCATCATCAGCATCATCATCGTCATCGTCATCATCAGCATCAGCACCATCATCATCATCATCATCATCATCATCCTCATCATCATCATAATAAAAATCATCAGCATCAACATCATCAGCATCAGCATCAGCACCATCATCATGATCATCATCAGCAGCAGCATAAGTATCCTCACCCTGATCATCATCATCATCAGCAGCAGCATCGTCATCATCATCAGCAGCATCACCGTAGTCGGCATCATCAGCAGCAGCACCATCATCATCATCAGCATCAGCATCATCATTATCATCGACGTCATCATCGTCATCATCGTCACCATAATCATGATTCCCCATTCCTCTTTCTCCGTTCTTCCGATCTGATGGGCAATCGGAGTCCGATTGGCGAGCAGATGGCGTACACTGTTGGATACCATGGGTAATGACCATGAATTGGAAAATGGGTTGCGGCCATGGGTTGCGCCATGGATGTCGCGAAATTTGGGGTACCACGTCCACCTCCATAGATAGCGCTATAGGTTGGGACCATTGGGTTCTTCGCATCACTTTGCATTACCCTAGATTGGTCTGCATTATTTGCAACACGTTGCTTTGCACTGCCTTGCTCCGCAACACTTTGCCTTGCGGTGCTTTGCATTGATTGCATTGCACTACATCGACAGCACCAATTCACTGCTTGGAGTCCAAGCTGGATTCATTTGCCGTCCTGGTCTAAATGAATCATCGAAGGATTGAGTCATCATGTCCAGATTGATTCAGCCAAGGTCACCATTTGGAAGATCACGATGCCGAGACTGAAAGTGTCGCCGTTGGGGTACCACCTGCGCTCGGTGAACACCTCTGGAGGCATGTAGCCTGGGCGGATGAGCGAATCCAGATCTAGGTTGGGGAAGGAGCAGCGGCGGAAGAGGGAGCAATTAAGTCTGCACCCGAAGTCCACAGGCGCGAAATTTCGAAGCGCGGCCCCGCTCACAGAAGCCCTGTTTTCGGCTACCTTGAGAATCAGAAGGGGAGGAGGATGGGGTGGAGGGGGAGGAGCCTGAGGAGCAGCAGGGGGAACAGGAGGAGCAGTTGGAAGTGGGCGACGAGGAGACGGAGCTGGATGAGGAGCAGGATCCGCAGCAGGAGCAGCAGGCCATAAGGTCCGGGGACACAGACGTGTGCTCGGCGGGTCGCAGCGCCACGGGCGAGTCGCAAGGCGGGTCGCAGGATATGCCGGGCACAGCGACTTAGCAGAAAAGACGGCAAGAATCTGCACCGCGGATCCGCACGTCGGCCAGGCTCCAAGTGCCACGACTCCGTCCCTTGGAACATGCAACATGCGATGGATCCTCTCTCCGAAGGCTACGATCCGTCGGACGAAACTCTGGCTCCGCGCTCCCAGGGCCATGACCTCGCCATATGCAGTGGATCTGCGCTCGCTGGGGCCACGACCCATGGCAAATGGCGATGACGATGACGACCACAACCTTATTCATGATGATGATGATATATTCTTGTATACTCTCGCTCCGAATCAAACTGTAAACTCAATGAGAACGGCCACCTCGAGCGCGCCAGAAGAGCTCCAGAACGGTCTGGAACTCGGGCGGCAACGAATGGAGCGTCTTAACAACGTCGCTCATGTTAGCCCTTCTAGCAAGACTCGCTCGGCTCTAACAATCAGGGCATCTCTGTTGAGCTACGCTGCAAGGATGCATACACAAGAAAGTCATAGTCAAAAGATTGCGACTGCGCGGTGCACAATTCTACTGCTGTTCTGTCACCCGCTAGCTCGCTTCTGGTTCCGGCTGCGGCGGCCGGTTGCCGCTGTCCAAATTCTGGGGACAATGGATGCCACCAGCCCACTGGGCGTGGGTAGTTTAGGGTCACAGTTCTTCTAACCCCTCCTTTACCTCTGGGGAAAGGCTAACCGCTGCCCAAAAAAAACCTCCCCCCTTACTGGCCGCCGACGAGGAACAATGAGGCCCCCTCCACCATCCCTGTCAAAAAGGGAATGCAAAGGCACCTGGCAGCAAAGTCTGGATCATTATCGGGCACTGCGAGATGACTTTGCAGTGGTTTTGACAGGGACGGCATGGGAGCGACGTATTTGTCCGCTGTGCGCTCGCACATTATCCGTATCATAATCAATGAATGCAAGCTGATTGCGAGCGCACATAGATTCAAGCTGATTGCAAATCATTGCGCCATTGCAAAGATTTTGACAAACTGGCGTTTGAAAGGGATGCCGGGGGGGTCAACACGTTGCCCGATGTGTCCGTAAAATGCACTGGCGCACCTGTTAACACCTGACTGACGCACCTGTCACCAACTGGTGAATTCTGCGCGCATCGCGCATCTGGCGCGGTCGGAGCATGTGGCACACTTGGCGCATCTGGCGCACCATGCGCGCATGCCACGCTTTGGCCTCTGGGTCACCTCGTGCACCTAATAGACATCGCGCACCTGACACGCGTGGCGCACCTCGAGAGCGTCGCGCACCTGGCGTCTGTATTGGTTCCCGATGGCCTCCCGTCCAATGGAGAGACATCTGCCTTTGCTAAGTCTTGCATGCTACTTCATGGCGGGAGGGCGGGTGGCAGTCAGAGAGACAGCTTGTGACGTTCCGTTGGGAACACTACTCCTACCATGGGTCTGGACAGGAGGGTCCCAATCCCTAGCATCGTCCAGGATGGCCCCAGATGGCCCCTGGAGGGTTCCAAATTGCCCGAGAATGGCCAAGACGGCCGCAAGAGCACTCACGAGCGCCCCAAGAGCATCCCATGAAGGCCCAAAGAGGCAATTAATGTTTGGACATCCGAGGGAGAGGCTAATTTACGCCGCCCCCATTTCTGATTGATGGCCTCCAAGACGGCCCCAAGAAGCCCTCCAGGGTCCCCAAGAGGGCCTAAAGAGAGAACCCCAAGAGCACCCCAAGAGGGCCGAAAGAGAGCCCAAAAGGTCCAAAATGGCTCCAGTGGTGGCTCCAAGAGGCTCCCAAAAGAGTCAAACTTCTTCATTTTTGGCATCCCTGTTTCTCTATATGCTTACCTACGTCCTCTCCTCCAGACAGCTCTCGTGGGCATCGGGTCTGACTGTGCTGGTGAGGACACGCGAAGCGTCAAGGATCGAGACTACTCTTCGATGCCGAGCGCGGCCAGGCACATCTCTATAAAAGGCACATTTGGCCACTGCCGAGCCATGCACGCGGAATCGCTATGCGCGCTTCGGCGCACGCTAACTACAGGCTTGCCGATGGGTCTGCCCCTGCATGTCAGTGCTGCCAGCAGCGCTGGCCGCGGGGCCAGGGAGCGGGGCGTGCACTGCAGACAGCTCACCGAATTCGTCATCACGCCGGCCAGCTCTAGCGGCACTGCCCGCAGAGGTGGGGGCACTCGGCCTTCAGCGTGCTCGACTTGGGGCAGTGTCCCCACTTCTGCCAGTCCGCACACGTGTACCCGTAGGTGACCTTGCTGAACTCTGCGCAGCTCCCAGGGCAGTCCGCCCGAATCGTCCGCGACCCTGCGCAGTGGCCCGCCAGCGCCCACTGGGCGCAGGTATACCCATACGAGAGCTGACCCTGCGTGTCGATGCAGCCAGTGCTGGTCGCTGGAGTGGGGGTCGGCGGAGTGCACTGCTGACAACTCACCTTGCAGTGCGCCCGGATGCCATTCGACGTAGCGCACGCGCCCTGCGCTTTCCAGGCAGCGCAAGACTGGCCCCACGGGTTCGCGGTGCTGTCCACGCACCCGGTTGGCGCAGGCCCAGGGGTCGGAGCCGTAGCGGGGGTCGGCGGAGTGCACTGCTGACAACTCACCTTGCAGTGCGCCCGAATGCCATTCGACGTAGCGCACGCGCCCTGCGCTTTCCAGGCAGCGCAGGACTGGCCCCACGGGTTCGCGGTGCTGTCCACGCACCCGGTTGGCGCAGGTCCAGGTGTCGGAGCTGGAGCGGGGGTCGGCTGAGCACATTGCTGGCAACTCACCTTGCAGTGCGCCCGAATGCCATTCGACGTAGCGCACGCGCCCTGCGCTTTCCAGGCAGCGCAGGACTGGCCCCACGGGTTCGCGGTGCTGTCCACGCACCCGGTTGGCGCAGGTCCAGGTGTCGGAGCTGGAGCGGGGGTCGGCTGAGCACATTGCTGGCAACTCACCTTGCAGTGCGCCCGAATGCCATTCGACGTAGCGCACGCGCCCTGCGCTTTCCAGGCAGCGCAGGACTGGCCCCACGGGTTCGCGGTGCTGTCCACGCACCCGGTTGGCGCAGGCCCAGGGGTCGGAGCCGGGGCCGGCGCGGGCTGCGGGGCACCGCACTGGTACATGTCCTGGAACTGGCGGATGTCGCCATCGGAGAGGCCAGATCTTTGCCCTGGAACGCTCTGCCAAGCAGAATTGACCGCGTCGGCGTTGTCCGCCAAGCCGTAGTGCATCAGCGATCCATAGTCGTACGCCGCGTAACCCGCGGTCTGGGAGCCATAGTAGCTGCGCTTCTGGCCCTCCCACTGGGGCCTCCAAGCCGCATCGATGTTTTGCCACTTAACTCGCAAATAAGGGCCTTTGTACCCCGCCGGGGTGTAGGTCTGGGCTGCCCCGTCGGGCCGGTTCTGCTCGTGGTTCATGCCCAGCGCGTGCCCGAGCTCATGGGCGACGCTGCCCCAATGACTCACACTGTTGCACCATCCAAGGTTCACGTCGAGAGTCCCGTCCGAGCCAGGGAACCCCACGAAGGCGGAGCACGTGTTCTGATTGGTGACAGTGATCCTCATGCGCGGTGTGGCGGAGCTGTATGTAAACTTCACGCACGTCTTGGACTCCCACTCGTCTTTAGCCCTGTTGAACGCCGCCTGTCTGTCCGAGTCGATGTTGTCAAAGTAGTAGTTGATGTACACAACATTGCCGACCTTGGTCGTCCAAGGCCCGCCACCCGGGCTGCAAGGGTAAGGGTAGCACGGCATCCAGCCATAGGCTTGGGTGCAGGTTCCGCAGCTGAGGGGGCAGGCGCCGCGCACGGCCAAGCCAAGATCGCCTGCGGCATTGCACCAAGTCTTCGCCTGAGAGCAAGGCATGTTGTTCCCGACGCCCGTCTGGGTGTGATCCTCGCACAACCCTTTGGTACCGAGGAGCGACAGGTTGGCCAACGTGTCTGGGTGCACGGTCGGTATCCCTTCATCGGGCGCGTCCTCCTCTGTGATCTCCTGAGGGTCCACGCCCACTGCAATCCCGTCCATGTACGCCTCATCGCTCACGCTCAGCTCTGTAAGCACCGTCGGCACTGCGTCGTCCTCCAGGGGGCCCGTGTACTTCCACACCAACATCTTACAATGCTCGCTGTCCTCTGGAACGGAGTCGTTCGGCAGCAGCAGCCCAGGAGGCGGCGTCGACTCGTGCCAAGCCGCCCTGTTGGCCCTCGTGGCGCCACAGCGGCACTCGGAGCGTCCAGTGCGCTCGCTGTGGACCAGGCCCGAGAGGTCCAGACCCTTGGAGAGACAGAAAGTGAAACAATCCAAATAGGACTGCTGGGGTTGCATGGAGAGCCGGAAGAAAGGCATCCCGCTGCGGCAAGGATCCAACGAGTTGTTGCGGCTCGCCGCGCTCACGCACGTCGGGTCCTGGAAGCTTTCCTGGTCATCGGTGTCACTAGCCGCGCGGGGGAAGCAGCCAACCATCCGGTGCTCAACCGTCACACGGCCCTCGTGCGGGCTGTGGCTCACGGTGGCCCTGGCCTGGATCAGTGCGGAGTCCCGCTTGCAGACCGGAGTCCCGCCCGCAGCCGAGGCGGCTCCGAGGCAGGAGACGAACAAGGCAGAGGCCCACGGCATGGCCTTTTGTGGAACGTGGCAGAAGGTCTTGCAGGTGCAGGTGCAGGGCGAGAAA